TAATGAATTTTGTAGTTGCTCTTCTTTCATTGATGAAGACCTCTGCTAGTGTTGGAGTGTCTTCTTCTTCATCCTCATACTGAATTTGGTTCCTGATTTCATTTGACGTTGCCGGCTGCTCAGGAGCTGTTTCTTGGTGGGGTTCCAAGTTGAGATCTATCATAGCAGTCCCCTGCTGGATAGTAGCAACCAACAGTTTCTGGGGTGCCTTAGAGGATTCCCCACCTCCTTTAGTCTCCAACCTTGACTTCTGAAGAGTCTGTCTGAGTTGTTTATCACTAGAGGAGGAGGAGTGAACGATTTGCTTACCTCTTGATCTTGGCAGTCCCTTGGATGCGTTGTCAGCATGATCATCATAATCACCATCATCATCATCACTGCCATCTTCTATGTGGGTTTTGGCAGTGAGATTCTTCATCTTTAGTGCGTAGACTTGATTTATCTTCAGCATCTTGGTTGCATCTGCCATGTCTTCAGTGCCTAGCCAATCCACCACAAAGTCTTGTTCTTCTACAAAGTGTGCGAAGTTTTCAACTTGAATACGGCTCCTGGATAGTTTCCATGATCTCCAGGCCTTTACTCTTTTAAATTCAGCGTCCAATCGCTCTAGAGGTGTGATTTTGGGTGACTCTACTGCTTGGGATGGAGGGACCTGCTCGTTGAGAGGAGCCACCTGCGCAGCTTCTTGGAGGGGTAGCTTGGATGAGTCCCCTGATGGAAATGAAGCACCCAACTGCTCTAGCAAGAGAGCCACCTGCTCTTCTTGTTGTATTATCTGTGTAACACCCCCATTTTCCCACCCAAAACGTTGATATATTTTAAAGAAATACTTTATTCATTCATCAAAGAGTTAAATAAATACAGCGGAAGTCTAAAATAGGGAAATGGGTGTTACCGCCACATCCGGTCATCTCTCAACCGGATGTACAGGCAACTAGAACATAACAACTAATTTAATAAAAGTAAAGTGTTTGAAAAGTAAATGTTTATTTCATGACTAGTATAACTAAGGCGACTTCTAACTCGCTCTCGGCCATGCAAGCAATCATCACTCGACAACATCATCCTCACCTGCACAAATAAAGTGCAGAAACAAAACAAGGAAAAGAAAACAAAAATTAGCTTTAGAGCTAAGTAAGTACTACCCAACCCTGTAAAATAATCATGTTTGACAAAAATAGATTTTTATATAATAATATATAAAAATACTCACACCATCGAAATTCTTTTCACTTTTATTTTTCTCAAAACTACTTCTTTACAAAAATCCTCAACTTCTCTTTAAAACTTCATAATAACTCTTCTCTTTGATTTCCTCAAAAATCACTTCTTCTCTAACTTTCTAGTAATTTAGAAGGGCGGTGCTCAACCTTTCGGTAGAGCCCGCTGGACCGTGGTTACGGACGGCCACCCCGAACAAGTGCCGGTACCACAACTGCTCTGTTGGAAACGAAACGACTACCTTAAGTGTGCACACCCCCTAAAACGGATTCCAAGCCCCCCGAGTAGTAAGTCGTAACGAGTAGTCGGGACTCAGTCTACCAACTACCCCTGAATAAGATATTTTGAATGATTAGGGATTACTACTATCATAACTTCTTCTTAAAAGGGATCATCGATCCAAATATCACTTTAAACTCAAACTGTACTTCTTAGTAGTAGCAAACCTAATCACCCTCCACATTTATCCGGACGTGGAAAACCGACACCACGGATTTCTCCCGTGATGCTCACCTCTTATGAAATCATTCTTTTATCTTGAATTAATATACTTCAAAATATTTCTCAACTTCTCAGACTGCTTTAAAAATAGTTAGATAAAATATTTACCCCCAAAAGCACTTAGTTCCACGAATCATCTCAGAATCACATGCATAAAAATCATACTTCACACTTAAAATCACGTATCACATAATACATATATAATACGAGGAAACGATTTTTGGATTGACAGAGAAACTTACCTCTAGTCCGGGTGCTCCTAATTCTCTTCTTCTACTCCGGTCTCTAAATAATCACCTTTTTAATTAAGATGATATAATTAGTCACTTACTCTTTAATAATTATTTTACTCGATTTCTACCTTTTATTTTGTTTTTCGAATTCACTAATTCAATTATTTTATGATCCGCGTTAATCACTTCTTATTAATTAAATTACCTTATTAATTCCGTCGTTAATTAAAATACTTAAATTCTAAAACATACGAATTTAATTAATTACAATATCAAATTTCTAATTTAATAATCATCTTTTTATTTACTCAACTCCTAAAGCATTTGGTATGTCTTAATATTATATCCGAATTATTTTTAATCTAACTAATCAAATATCGAAATTAGTTTATATTAACATTATTAGCATTAATAAATCCGAATTAACTAACATATTCTGATTTTATTAATTACTTAAACACTTAATATTTTAAATTCCGTAATTATGCAAATTTTATATTACTCTACCTTAATTAGTCCAATAATTAGTGAAAATAATATCTATCCAACTTTATTTAATCTAATTATAGTACTAAAGCAAAATAACTAATTATTATTTTAATATAATATTCGATTATTCCTTTTTATTAACTATCCCATCAATTCATTTTATCATTTAACATTATGAAATTATGATAAATAACAATTAACAAATTTACCGAAGTGATTACTAACAACCAATCAAGCCAAATTTCACCATTAATATTTCTCATCTCAATTTATCAATTTTGTAGATTATTATTATTATTATTGTTAGTATTATTAGTATTATTATTCTTAGTATTATTCTTCTTCTTATTATTATTATTATCATTGGTGTTATTAGCCCAAGTGCTTCAGCCTAAATAAATAAATAAAATGCTGGCCCAACTTAAACAATCGGCCCAAAATCTTCAGCCCATCCTTATGAAAGAAGAGTTGAACGCAGAGGTTTTGCCTCTGTGTCATCTTCTTCGGCGGACATGGGAGTGCGAAGGGGGAAAAGGGAAAAGGGCAGAGAGGGAGCTTACCTACTGCGGCGGCGTACGAGTGGTAAGGCAGAGTGTTCGAAGATGGTCCAGGAGCTGGCTAAGGCAACAACGACGTCTCTTCCTCCGATGAATGTTTGTCCGGCGAAACTCCGGCAACCAGTTCTTCGTCGTTTCATGACCGTTTTAAACGATTCCTTCGCCGTTGGATTCCTCTCGCAAAGGGGAAGGTCTTGAGAGTGTTTTCGAAGTTCGGTAATTAGTATAGCGCTGGGTTGGATTTTCGTATATATATAAGCGTGTATATATATATATATATATATATATATATATATATATATATATATATATATATATATATATATATATATATATATATATATCGATCGTTTTGTTGATGAGCGGAACCTCAACGAAGATACGTCCTATTTATACATGTAGACTGAACGTTATAATCTCCTTGGTAATCACTGCAGTTTTAATACTTTCCTTCGTGGAGGATATTCACGCCATGCGTGAGCTGTGTAATATAACGTAAGTATATGCGTATTAATGTGGTATACGCATCAGTTTTTTTTGTATCCGTTTGCTATATTGGTTTCATTCGTACGAGTAGACTATACTTAGAAATCAGTAGTTCATTATACTTCGTATTTTATTTCAGCTGCGAGTAATAGTACACAAGTAGCGTAGGTTTATTTTTGACAAGGTTTAGCTACGTAAATATATGCAATTCCTCACATTATCAGTTGAAAAGTCAAACTTGGAATACACGTAAAGGGTTTTGGAAAGTAAATTTTTGTGTATTTCTTATTTAATGTCCTTTTAATTTAGTGGATCTCACTCGTACCATCTACCCACATCCTTATATTTTATCGAAATAATATTCCTAAAAGAAGTTACTTTAGATCTGATCAACATTAAAACGTCATTTTCATTTTTTTTAACGTCACCCCCATAATTATAGAAATGTCACTTCTATTATTGAAGCATTTTTGTCTCACTAAAATGTCGTAAACTTGAAAATTTTATCTGGTTACAATGTCACAATTGTTGAATTTTTTTTTTGTTTGACTTAATTAATAATTGAAATGTTATTTTCGTAACTTTTTATCTGACTGATAAAAATTATTATTTTTTTTATTTTTATTTTTTTATTTTTATTTTTTTTTTAATTTTTAGAGTGTCACATTCTACCCTCCTTAAAAGATGTTTCATCCCGAAACATTAAAAGAAATCAAATAACCAAATTCTTAAGTATTACATTCTACCCTCCTTAAAGAGAGGTTACGTCCTCGTAACTAAAATTTTACCTGATTCAAATAACTCTGGATAACGTTTGCACATATCGCCCTTAGTCTCCCATGTGGCATTTTCGGCCAAATGGTTAGACCACAACACCTTCACCATCTTAACCGCATTTCTTCTAGTCTCACGGGTCTTGGTATCCAAAATCTGGATCGGCCTCTCCTCGTAAGTCAACGATTCATCCAACTCGACCACCTAAAAAGTCGAGGCACTACAAGAAAATAGGTTATTTACCCACACTCGTATGTGTTGGTAAAACATTAGATATGTGTAGGTAATAATCTTTACCCACACATATTATAAGTGTTACGATGTGTGGGTACGGAAACGTAGACAAATGTTATTAGCTACACTTCCAATTATGTGTGGGTAATATTATTATTTATAGCTACACATGTATGCGTAGCTAAAACACTTCTAAATGTGTTGTTTTTGGTCGATCATTTCAGCAAATAACCCGTGACATGGCATATGACGTGGAAGTACACGTGGCTGATGATGTGGCTTGTGACATGGCAATTTAGGTGTGACGTGGATAATGACGTGGCATAACTGATGAATCTTAGCCGTTGCCACATGGACATAAAGATGTGTGGGTAAAAGTTATGTGTATGTGTGGGTAAATTGTATTTTAAAAATGGGTAATAAAAGTGGGTAAAACTATTTCATTAAATATTATATTTATTTATTAAATACACATATCAAACAATTACGTTTTGTAATAGGAACACGGGAATGGATAATATATTATAACGATAAATGTCATAGTTCAAACTAAAATATTCAATTTCAACAAAGTATTAGCTAATCAAAAACTGCCAAACAAAATAAAACATTAACTAGCTGGTGCCGCAATACAAAGTATTAAGTCTAATATGAATTTTGCTTCTATACAATATTATCATATTCAGAAGTAGAGTCCTCATAACCGTCAACATGCTGGCCTCGATCAATAGAGGATGACCCACGATTAAGCGGTACTGAACAATGATCTGAAGGAACATGTGACATGGGAGGCATAATATTCTTCTCAATCAACAACTTTTTCATCATTTCAACAGTGCCTTAAAGTTCTCCAACACGATCCATCAATTGAGTATAAGTTGGAATATTTGAATCACCTTTGCTTCTTTTGGACCCAGTGGGAGACCGTCCCCAACCAAATAGACGAACAGATTCTCGTCCAAGCACCTTCTCTAATATTTGTTTATCAGTTAAATCTTCAGGTGATTTTTCTCTTCTCAATTCCATAATTTCTTCCTGTTAAATTATGAATGGAATAGTAACAATTCATTAATCAGGTAAACTGTGAACATCAGAACATGCATGTATATATATATATGTCAATAATGTAAAACTAATTAATTTGAATAAAAGATGCCGTGGTTAACACACACGGTCTGTGAAGTACACTTACATATTTAGATTCAGCTTCTACAGATACCCAACCACGTTCTGGATGCCAATGACGGAGACGCCACGTCTCAATATGACCAACAGGAGCATTTAAGTCAACCCCACGACTAATGTGATGGCGTGCTGTACTTTTAGATCCGTTTCTAGAAATCCATTTTCTTTTCTTACATGACTCAGCATTCTTCAAAGCTTTTTGCTATAAAATAAACACAAGTAATGATTATAAATATCAACAATAATGTATAAATGATGCATCCTGCTGTTTTTCTCAAAATAAACTACGAAACATGCTATAGCAAAGAAACTCCTATTCACTACGTTTACTACTACAGTAAGCTTTAAGACTTAAATATACTTTGTTAAAAAAAAATTAAAATTCATTAACGTCAGCATATCTTTAGGTATAAAACATCTTACCAGATATGAAGGGTCGCTCCAACAATTACATAGATATTCCCAATCCGATTCGCTAACACCCTCATAAGGCTTACTCTTTGCCTTCATCAGATCACCTGCACCTCCAACTGTTTTAAAATGTTCACGTAACGTACGTCTATAGTTATGCCAAGCTCTTTGCATTTGTTTATCAATAGCTTTTATGACATTTGCATCTTCCAAATCAACATTAAATAATGTCTGCATAACATACAAGAAGTTTGTAGTGTGAGTCTTCATGTATACTTACTCGAAATTTGTCACGAAGTGGTGCTCTTTCTTCTTCAGGCACAAACCTCCATTCTTTGTACTTAAGGTCGCAATACGTACGCATGATATATCCAACTTCATTATTGAAAACCTCTGTGTTGTCACATATTGCTTGCATAATGTCAAAGTCAAACTTTACTGTCAATCGTGATTTAGCACTCCTCATTTCTTTCCGGGCACCTTTACTGCATGTTATTTCACGCACATTTGAACCTTGTTTTGCGGTATCATTATTGGCAGATGAAACTTGAGTGCCGCTTTGAGTTTGGTCTGTAAATAAAATTATATTAGATTTAAATTACAATCTAACAATCTAAAGTCTTTTTTTTTTATCTAGGAGAATGTAAAAGTTTTTATTCTGCATAAATATTTCCATAAAAATCCAGTTTCTATTTTCAAGACATTAAGTATTTCAGTTTTTAATTTTCTTTTCATAACTTCAGTTCTTTTATTGGGAAAATTAAAAAGCCTTTGAGATTTATTGCTTGTAACACAACTGGTTTACCAAAAACTATATGCTATTAAGTTATATCACATGCCATTGAGTTCACAAAAAACACTAAATATAAAGATGTAAATATCAAACAAAACAACATGTCACATCTCATAACTATTAATGTCGTGGTGACCTATATGAAAGAAGTGTTCAAATTGTCTAATTATTGATATAACTAATTTAACCTACTTGAATCTCTTTCCTTGCGGGTTCATCTGCAATTGGAATACTGCTACGTCCACCTCTCATTGAAACTCGAGTATCTCTTAGAGAATGAGCTATTTAATTACATTATAAGGAACATTGAATTATTAAAATAAAGTATTGATATAAATTTTTTTGATGTTGGAGATAAGTACTTATATCTTGAATCAATAATTACTTTGAGGCAACCACAGTAATCTTGTTATTCTAAATCATGCAACCAAAAGAAATTATCTTTTTAAATAATCCAAGAGAGTAAATGTACAGTTGATAGTTATTGATATAAATGACCCGTTTGAAACTCTTCTGATGCAGATCTATGTCCTATTGGATTCCTCCTACACCCACCTCTTGTTGAAACTTGAGTGTCTCTTAGGGAATGAACTATATATTTTGAAAATTAACTCATGAGAGATAAATAACAAATGTTATTAATTAATAGAAACACTGATTTACTTAACCTGATCGAAGCTCTTCAGTAGCATGTTGATCTTCAACAGAAATCCTACTACGTCCAACTTGTGCACCATATCCACCTCTTTTAGAACTAGCCATGGGAAACCTGCAACAAAGATTCAACAAAGAATTAAAATCATGCCACAGTGAAACTATGATATATACATATGAATAAGTTCAAACAAAAATAACCTAAGACTAAATTTATGTCATGCCATGGAGTCATCGTCACTGATATTTAGTTCTAATGCATCAAAGTCTTTGTCACTCTCAGACTCTAATATCAATTCATTGTGAAAGAAAAGCTCTCCATCGTCAGGGTCCTAATCTTCAACATCTTCTAAAGAATCTTCATTTTGGATATGCATTGACGTTTGATCCCGCATTTGTTGGACAACCTTATTCGGTAATGCCATTGGCTCTACATCTTGTCGAACTAAAAGAGGTGTGTCATCAATTTCTTCTATTGGATGAAAAGATGGTAACTCACTAGCATCTTCCTCTTGAAATATGTCATCACTAGCATCCACATTAGCATCATGCTCTGGTATATCATATATGCAACGATGATTTACTTTTTGTACAACCATCCAATTCTTGCCTCAAGCTTTATCATCTAAATAAAACACTTGTTGAGCTTGTGTGGCCAAAATAAATGGATCTTCGGTGTACCACTGGGATGATGTGTCAACAGATGTCAGTTTATAATTAACCACCATTGTTCTCCCCTTTGGATCAGTATTATACCACTTGCAACGGAACATGAAAACCTTCCTTCCAAGGATGAAATCAAGTTCTAAAATTTCAAGTAATACACCGTAATAAATGGTATCACCATTATCATCTCCAGTGCATACTCCGCTACATTGTGTCTTGAACTTGTCATCACGTTCTTTCCATCGAAATCTAACACCATTGACTATACAACTTTGCCAAATTGTGTAATGATCATCCGGTAATTGCGATAAGGAATACAAATCATCACTAGCTATCGGATCACCATTTACTCTAAGTATAGCCATCTGAAACCCGAATATTAAAATTATAAATTGTTAAAATTAAAAAAAAAGTTGATTTATACTTATATACTTAATATATAGGTTTTACCTTTTTCTTGAACCAAGCAGGAAATTCACGTTTGTGAATATTGTCCCATTCTTGTGCACGTGAGCTTGTCAAGCAAATAAGTTCCTTATGCTCTCTAAAGTGAAAAATAAATTACTTATAATATCAAATAAATTAAAAATAACTACAAATGAAATTATAATGGAAAACTCACTTTATGTAATCGTCGAGCTCACTTCCACAATTGTTAAGAAGGTACCATTGCACCACATTCCCATCTAATCCTAGATTTCCAAATTTAGGAGCTCCAAGTGTTCGTATTTTGTGGTTAAACACGTCCATCTTATAGTCTTCACTAGAGAGGTCCCAATTGCGCTCTGGGCGTGTAAATCTTGTTTCAATATCAGTTAAATATCGAGATAAGAATGTAATAGCCTCATCGACCACGTAAGCTTCAGCAATAGATCCATCAGGCCGAGCATAATTACGCACATATCCCTTATAAGTACCCATGCGCCGTTCAATTCCAAACATCCATCTAGGAGGAGCTGGACCACCCAATAATGCTTGTTCTGGTAAATGCACGCACAAGTGAACTATGATTGTAATAAAGGACATCGCAAAAATTTGTTCAAGTTTACACAATATGATCACAATCCCAGTGTTTTCATGTCCTCATGTTCGCCAACATATAAGGTCTTTGCGCATAACTTCTGAAAGAATTGACAGAACTCTATTAGTGTGATACGTATTTTCCTATCGAGGAATGCAAGAATCGCCACTGGCAATATCTTTTGAAGCAATGCATGACAATCATGAGTTTTCATTCCTCCAAGTGTATTTGCATCTGTGACACATCGACTAATATTGGAAGCGTAACCATCTGGAAGGAGAACAGACTTGATAAACTTGCAAAACTCCTTACAATCATCTTTAGTCAAGGTATATTTAGCATGTGGTTTTTCAAATTTACCATTTCGTTCCCTCAACCACAACTCCTTGCGAATGTTATGATCTTCCAAGTCAAGACGTGCGTTCAAAGTATCTTTTGACTTTAGAGGATCATTCAATAAGGTCCCGACAATATTATCACATACATTCTTTTCTATATGCATTACATCAAGATTATGGTGCATCAACAATTTCGACCAATAAGGGAGTTCAAACAAGATGCTCTTTTTGGCCCAATTCAATTCATTAGCACCACGTTTGCGTTTCTTATCTTTATTGTTCGTAGCTTTTCCAGGTGTTGCATTATGAACCTCCTTTAGCTGTTGTAAAATGACATCTCTAGAAAATTCTCGAGGCGGTCCTCTTCTCTCTGGCTTGCCATCAAATCCCCTATTCTTTCTCCAGCTATGTGTATCACTTAGAAAGCATCGATGCCCTGTATAGCATTGTTTTCCTCGAATTCGTTTCCATCTGGTGTCCTCGAGGCATACAGGACACGCCATTCTTCCCATAGTACTCCATCCAGACAAGTAAGCATAAGCGGGGAAGTCACTTACAGTCCATAGAATTGCTGCCCGGAGAGTAAAATTTGATTTAGAATACTCATCATATGCTTCAACCCCATCTGTCCATAAAATTTTAAGTTCATCTACAAGAGGCCTTAGAAACACATCAAAATCCTTACCAGGTGACTTAGGACCAGGAATTAATAATGCTAAAAGATAGTTACTTTTATGCATCATACTCCAAGGCGGCATATTATAAGGCATCAAAATTACTGGCCACAAACTATGTGATGTTGACATATTACTAAATGGGTTAAACCCATCAGAGGCCAACCCCATTCTAACATTTCTCGAGTCTGCAACAAAATCTGGATATAACTCATCAAAGTGCTTCCAAGCCTTCCCATCAGCCGGATGACGCAGAACTCCTGGCTCTTCCTTGCGCAGTTCTTTATGCCAGCGCATGTGTCTTGCCGTTTGACGTGAAGCATACAGACGTTTAAGTCGAGGTCCCACCGAGAAATACCGCAGCCTCTTATGTGGAATCTTATTACGAACATATCGATTACATTTACATATAGGACATGTGACATCATTCTTATGATCACCATAGAACAACACACAATCGTATTTGCAAACATCAATAAGTTCGTAACCTAAACCCACGTCACAAAGTAGCTTCCTAGTTTCGTAATAGCTTTGTGGACAATTATTGCTTTGTGGGAGCACTTCACGTAGTAGCTTCAACAACATTTCAAAGGAACCATCACTCCACTTATTCATCACCTTTATATTCATCAATTTTACCACGAATGTCAATACAGAGGATGTATGACATCCTACAAATAACGGGGTATCCAGAGCTTCATATAGTTTTTCATAATGAGATTTTTTTGCCATGGGTTGCTGATTTGTAAGAAATTCAGTGGTATCCCCAATATCAAAATATTGATTACCAAATGCATCATGCAGCCCTGCTCTCAACCCATCAAATTCATCATTTTCAAACTCTTCATTACCCGCACCTTCATCATCAGATTCTTCTTCACCGTGATACACCCACCGTACATATGACGTATCAATTCCTTTAGTTATCAAATGTGCTCTGATGACATCAATAGAATGACTCCTTGAATTAAAGCAATTATGGCAAGGACATGTTGTCAATCTCTTACGATCTAAACTCTGTTTAGCAACATTTATGAATTCTTTGATGCCAGCCACATATGCCGGAGCGATCCGATTTGAAGACTTCACCCAATCACGGTTCATATCATGAGTATTCTACTAATGACAGCAAAAACATGGAAACAAAAACATACACAAACACTGGCTTAGAGAAACATTCCATTTAGTTAGGTTAGATGTTGACAATTTATATGTCTTTTGAACTTAAAATGTGAAACTAGTAAAAACATACTTGTT